TAATAAAAAAAAAAAAAAAAGTCCCAGGATTCTTATACTAAGGACTCTATTATGTTATTTCATCATTATATATATATATATATTGTTTTTTTAATATTGAAAAGTTGACTCAAAATTGTGTATTCCTGTAAATATATCAGCAAGACCATGAGCGTTATCTCTAAATTCAGGATAGCAAGAGCTTGTGTTGATCTTTTGAATATTTATATTATTTATATCGGAATTATTGGTGGTGGTTGAATCAAATGAAGAATGATGTGAAGGATAAAAATCATCGCCAGGTGGGAAAGAGAAAATCAAAGGATCAACAGTTTCTTCGTGGAAAGAACCAGGGGATAAATCGGAAAATGATAAACTTGAAAGACCATTGTTTTGTTGAATTTGTAAGAAAGCTTCTTGCATTCTCATTTGTTGAAGTTGTAAATCATGATGAGTCAAAGGATTATTCATAATATCTTCAGGTTCAGCGAAAGGCATTGAATGCATGGTAGTATAAATTATATTACTATTATTATTGTTATTATTATTATTATTATTAGACATCAAGGTAGGAGTACTTGGCGATGATAAAGGAGGAGTCATTATTGGTATATTTTGAATATTTTGAATTCCATTAACTTTATTATTCATTGGAATTTCTATCCTTCCAACAAGATTATTCAAACGATTTTGACCTTTATTTTTTTTTGTTCTAATAGGACCAGCTTCACCACCTTCGTAATTATTAGTAGTAGTCGTATCTTGAGAGTTAAAAGTTGCAACAGCATTTTTACGAGCTTGTCTACGTTTCTCATTTTTACCTTTATTTTTATTTGGTCTATAAACGTAATTAGGATAAGCTTGCATATGTTCAAGTTTCTTTTGATCAGCGTAACGTTCCCAAGCTAAACGTTCTTCATCAGTTTCACTCTTCCAACAACTTGAAATAAATCTTGAAATTTCAGCATTCGTAAGATTACGATGAGCGGCAAGTATAGCAGGTTGTTTAGCACGCCTATAAAGAATGAAAGCATTCGGAGGTCTTGGAGGACGTTTTTCAGGTTGCATCTTTGAACTACCCGGTAGTTTTTTACCATTATCACCTCCATTATTAGAAGGATCATAAATTTGAAAAGAATTATCTTCTTTTTTAATATTATGATCATCAATAGCAGCAGCACCAGCAGCCATTGAATTATTTGTTGGTCCAGTTTGTGGGAAAAGGTCCGAATCACAATTAGCGAAAGAGGAAGCATCATAATTATTAAGTATAAGATCGTTGCTTCTTGATCCGGGGCCTTTACTAGAAGTGGAAGATGTGTTGAACATGATGTATCCACAATATTTGTTCTTAACTTCAACGTCCATTTTTGTTTCTATTTATGATTTAATCTATTTTGAATGAAAATAATAATAAAAATGATTTAATAAGTATTATATAATAATGATTATAATCTTTTTTGTTTTCTTTTATAAGAAATTTTTTTGTTCTCTTTTTTTTTTTGATTATTGATTTAAAAAGAACA